TCAGAGACCTCCGTGATGACGTCATCCGCGAGACACAGCATGATCGTCGAGTGCGCCTTTTCCTCCAGAATCGCCATCTCAGGAGTAACGATGGCGTTCTTGTCTTTCGACAATGGCACCCAGAAGCCTTGCTGTTTCAACAAAGCCCGCATCTTGATCTGCCATAAACTGAAACTGTTCCTCCCTGTGAATTTGTCGATTTTCACGTTGAAAGCAGACATCTCGAATTCTCCAAGAACACCGATTAACCGAGAGGCTCTGATACCAATTTGTTGTGCGGAATTTGATATAGTACGAGAAAATATAAACGCGAAAAACAAGACAACAGATTTACGTGGTTCACCAATAAATTGGCTACGTCCACGGGAAGAGGAGGAGCAGTTTTATTATGGAGAGGCAAGAACAGAATTACGGAATAGGGTTTGACATAGCGTCTATATATAGTGCTAAACTACGCCCTAACAGGCTTGGGCCCAACATACAACATTGACAGATAATTAAGGGCCCAATACAACAACATTGTATACGGGTTTGATTCAAGGCATTCAACAACTCCGTCTATGAATTTTGAACCCCTTATTGAAATCCTGACTCCGCAACTGATCTTTTTCCTTTACAAACTATTCTAACATTCTTACCAAGTTATGTGATGTGTCTCACACAATCGTCAGTTGGTTCTCAAGGTGTCTTGATTCCAAAAGAAATCTAAACACATAATCAATAGTGGAGTCAGAAATTTGACGAAGGATATCTAGAAATTGAGCAACAAAAGATGCAACTACTGACTCATTCAAAGCATTTATAATCGATTCAAAAGCATTTGAAACCACTGACCTACGTGACCAATTCTGTCAAGGGTGTTCAAAATGAGTTATTTAATCACTTTGTATATTATTTTATTTGTATATGTGATATTTTTTTTTTCTAATGAAGAATGTCCAATTGAACGCCTTAACCGTAATCCACCACTGCACATAATAATACATTATTCTCAAATTACTGAGCTAATAATTGTTCCAAGATGCATTAATTTTTTTTTACAGAATCTTACAATTTAGCTATCGATATTTGTTAAATGGACATAAATTCAATACAAAGATCTTTGCCTTAACTAACTCCATATTAAATGTGGAATGAAAATCACATGATTATAATAATGAAATCTCTAAATAAAACAACTCATTCATTTTTTCTTCTTTTTTTTTTTACTTTTTTTTTATAAATAAAGTTTTGATTTGTGCTTCTAGAAGTTTTGACAAACTATAAACAGAAAGTAGTTGGGTTTCTTTTTCTCATAAATTTTGAGTCATATATGAATTTGTTTCCTAACGTTCTATTTTCCTATTTGACCATAAGTAGGCCTTTGACCATGTTATAGTAAAATTTAAAAAATAATAATTTTTATTTATAAAAAATATTTTAAAAAGTTAAAAATGTGTTTGATTGTAATATAAATTAGAGTTGTTTTAAATTTCTTGTAAGTAATTTAGAGTGAAAACATTTGAAATTATAATTTTTATTTTTTTTAAAAATTTTTATGATCAAACGTGTTTTTCAATTTAAATTAAAAAAAATGATAGCTACAACACCACCTTAAGACTCATGATCATCTCGTTTACTTCAATAAATAAATTCTTAGAGCAAAGTCGTCTACCCTATTCCTTTAGCAATTAATTGTAGCGGGCTTGTGGATCTATTTTTATTTTTCAATTTGATGTCCGATATTCATATTAGAGTCTGACTAAATTTAAATTTGCTTCGAAAAGTTCATATTGGGGTAAAATGCTCTCTAGTAAAAGTGACACTGTATTCTATAAGACTCAAACCAAAAACTTCTGATTAAAAATAAAGAAACATATGTTACTCGGGACAATCCTAGTTGATTTGTCGATTTATTATATTCAACAAAGATGTACTTTTTTTTTTATGGTTTTTCTTAGTCTGTTTTCTTATTGTAAATATTTGATATACTTTTTTGTGCTGAGGATTTATATACATTTTTCTATCTTGTGAGGTAAAAGGAAGCACCACCACTATTTTTTTTATTTCTATAATATTGTACCTTAAGAATTAGTTATAATACATTGAAGGTTATTAATCATTTTTCTCTTACAAATTACAATATTTACAAGTTAGGATAAAAATAAGTGAAATTCTCTATTTTAGTGGTAAAATTCATTTTCGACTACAATATATGTATGCCATTTTGATTAAGTTGATTGATAAAACATATAATTTAGCTTTAATAATTTTACTTAATTAGCAATACTACGAAATGTAATGTAGTAAAAACTTATTTAAATCAATTAAATTACACTAATAAAGTATTTTTTTTTTTTAAAAAATATTCTCATTATTTTATTATAGAAAAAGAAAAGTTGTTCTCATAATTGAAAATTTAAACCGCATGTATTCATCCTGACAATTGTCTATATTATAGTAGACATTGATGGGGCTATAAAGTGCCACAAATATTAAAAAAAAGAAACTAAGGAAGAAAAAAGTGATAAAGACAAGAAATACTAATGGTAAAAGAGAAAATGTTATATTTACCAAGAAATTTACTGAAAGAAACAAGCAAAAACATAAAAAATTCTTATTACTGCATTATTTAGAAACAAAGACGGATTTAGGATTTAAATATAATGAAGACGTATAAATTTTAACTTTGACCTCCAACTTTCATAATGCACCAACAGGTACTTTAACTGTCCAACTTTTAAATAAATAAACACATGAGTCCTACATGATAAAATACACGTAGGACAAAAAATTACACGTGGATGACATGCAGAACATGCATGTATTTGTTCAACTTTATACAAATTAAAGTGTCTACTTGTGCACACTCAAAGTTAAACGACATAAATGTGATTCGAAGTCAAGTTAAAAAACACATTTATGTATTATGCCTATAATGAAAGACACCGTTAACTTTAGCATATATACATATACGTCGATTATTCAAAATAAATTACAAAGAATATAGGCATCGAGATTCAAACTTAACGAATGTATATTAATTATCTCGCTAGATCAGTCCGGTTTAAAAATAATTGATTATACTTAAATGTTAATATATTTATGTTGGACGTTGAGGTTTTTGTCTCATTCAACATAGAAAGGTGAAATAAGAAGAAAAAAACAAAGTACAAATGGTTAACAATTGTCGTGTCTCATTATTCTGCTTTGAGAAATTGATAGATCTAAAGATTCAAAAGGACATTATAATACATGAATATTTTAAAATTCATCACTAATTTTATTCTCCTTTTGATTAAATTAGACTATAATCAAACACAAATTTATTCATATTCTTCTAGTAATACTTAAAAATAATGAACACTCATTTAATCAAATTAATAACAAAAAAAAACATGAATCAGAACTTTTTAGAATGATTCGTAATTTCATTTAGAGTACTCAAAATTTAAATTAATTTTATTAAATATTTTCGCTTCGAAATTTTGAAAGCTTTTGTAGGTACATTATATAAATAAATTCATTTTTTCAAAGTGTCATTTTCTACCCAAATTAGCCTCTATAAATAAAACATCAAACATATGCTAATTAGGAACGATGTGTCTAATTAAATAAAATATGCAGTCAATTTATTTATACATGCAAACGTTCTTTTAAAAATAAATATTTCTTCACTCATTGTAATTTACTAGTATCCGGGCACGAGCGTTGCACGTGTATTCCCAATAAAAACCAATAAAAAAAATAAATGAAAAAGTATATAATAAACTATTAGGAGAATTATGATGTTTTTTTCGAGTGTTCTCTCGATATATTCGATCTACTGCACATTAGATAAGTCTCCAAAGCTTACCCATTTATAAGCAATTAAATATACAGACAGTCATTAACAAGTAAAATTTCCAAGAAAGACACATCAAGTTAAAGAATTAAAAAGGGAAAATGTGTCGTTACTTAAAGTCATCTTGTATCCTTAATGTATGTCGTTACAAATGTAATTACTTCCTTAAAAATTTCAGATATACCAAGACTTACATTTACAGGCTTACAACTACTATCCATTACTGTTAGAGAAGACTTGGAGTTGCAACATTTGTTCAAGAAAATGTGATATATTTTGCTAGCAAACAACTGCAATTTCAATTTTTAGTTTAAAAGTTTAAACATGGTTTCTTTTCTGTGGGAAGCTATGCGTAGAGAGTTTCAAAGAGAGTTGATCATCATTCAGCATCAAACAATATGTGTACAACAATATTCAATTTTTGATATGTGTGATTATACCTTTCAAGCTATTTATTTTACCTATAAAAAAAATTAGAAAGTTATCATTCAAATGAAGTTAGCAAATCAAACGGAAAAATCTAGACTTAATAAGATTGTACCTGAAAATTAGAAGACATTTTTGTACCCACTTAACAATGGAAGCTTGTGTTGAATGACTAATATTGAGTATGTTTATATAGTGTAGTCTTGAAGATTTGTTGATAAAAACTCTTTGATATTCCTCAATTACTTAATTTGATCCCTTTCAACTTCTCATAATTAGCAAAATACGTTTCAACTTCTATATTAATTGAAACTTTATTAGTGTTCATCCTATTTGGTTGTTTCACACATAATAATTGAATAGACTGCTGAACTTCTCATTTTGCTCCTCTATCATGTAATTCAATATTACTATTTAATTAGATATTTAATTTATATGTGGGTAAAGTATTTTATTACTTTTTAATTTAGTATAGGGGCAAAGTAGTAATTCAACTTTACACTTTAGAGCTTCATGCTTATAATAATATATGATTTATCTTATATCTTTAAAAAATAATTTTTTAGTCAAAGACTTTTTTTGTAAAAAAATTCATGCTAAATCCAAATAGGACAAATTATTTCAAACAAAAATAATATATGATAATTCTAGGATTTAAATAATTTTTTTCTAGAACATAAATGAAAATATCCATTGAAATGACAGAAAAAATATAGAGAAATGGGGAAAATAGGATGGGGGTTTCCAATACCAATAGAGAAAAGTCTCTGTAGAAAAGAGCTTTGACTCTCTCTTCCAATGGTGAATTTAGTTTTCACACTTTCATGAACAACTTTCTTCTCATATTCACATTCTTCTCTTAATTCCATAACTACCCTCCAATTCTTATCTCCAACAACAACAAAAAGAGGCAACATTTTGCTTTTCTGCAGGTTTTCTTTTTCTACATTTCATTGCTGTTTAATCTTGGTTTTTAATGTTGTTTCTGTATGTTGGTATCATTTTTTCTTCTTGTTTTTGATTTTATATGTTGGGGTTTTGAAAAAGATAAGAAATTTATAAGAATCTTGAAATATGGGTGTTCATATTCTTGAAGATCTCTTAAAAAAGCATGCTTTTTGTGTTTTCTTTTTGTTTTGTTTCAAGAAAGTTAGAATCTGAATGAATATTTGAATATGGCATTGTTTAGCTCAAAGATTGATTTTTTATTGTTATTTAGAAATTGTTATGGGGAATTGCTGTGGGACACCTGGTAATTCTTCTGAGAATAAGAAGAAGAAGAACAAACCAAACCCTTTTGCTCTTGATTATGGTGCAACTCAAGCATCTGGAGGTGATGGAAACAAGCTTGTTGTGTTGAAAGATCCAACAGGACACAATATTCAAGAAAAATATGATCTTGGTTGTGAGCTAGGAAGAGGAGAATTTGGGGTTACATATTTATGTACTGATGTTGATACAGGGGACAAATATGCTTGCAAATCGATATCAAAGAAGAAACTTAGGACTGCTGTAGATATAGATGATGTTAGGAGAGAAGTTGAGATCATGAAGCATTTGCCTAAACATCCTAATATTGTGACCTTGAAGGACACTTATGAGGATGATAATGCAGTGCATATTGTGATGGAACTTTGTGAGGGGGGTGAGTTGTTTGATAGGATTGTTGCCAGGGGACATTATACAGAGAGAGCAGCTGCGGTTATTATGAAGACTATAGTAGAAGTTGTTCAGGTACAGTTTTACTAATTAATGCTTGTCTTTGCTTTTCATCTATAATTGTTACTTGTTTGTTTATTTCATGTAATTTAGGGGTTGCTAATTTAGGATTATGTTAATGAAGTTTGAATTGACAATGCCAACTGAAAGTGTCAATTTAGACTAGAAAGGAATGTTGAGATTGAAGTTTCATGTTTGTAAGCAGAATGAATGTTCTTGTCGAAGAATCTCTTTTAAGAATATCTTTCCCACTTCTTCAGTAAATTTTCCTACTTTCTTATGTCGATAACTGCCACTCCTTTTCTGAGTTTGCCTGCACTCTCTTGGTAGATAGGACACTCCCTTTCTTAGCTCAGGATCTACTTTGCTTGTGTAAATGAGTGCTTAATGTTTTTATTTGATTCATTTTACACGTTGAGATCCTATAGCATTTAATTAGACTAGATTTTATCTTCCAATATCACTAAACCTAGATGTCAAATATAGTAAAAAGTTATGTTGCTCGAACTCTTCAAAGATATCGACATGTGTGTGTCAGATCCTCCAAAAGTAGTGCATTTTTGGAGGATCCGACGGGGGTGGGGCAACAATTTTGGAGAGTTCGAGCAACTTAGGTAAAAAGTGTATTCATGCTCTAAATGTTGTTAGGTTTTCTATCTTTCTTATCTTGTCTTGTGAATTTTGCTTTCTTGGCAACTGTTTCATTGTCCTATATTTTTCTCATGCAAATACCTTTAAAATTATATACTTTCGTGCCAACCATTTAAATGAAACTTAAGGAAGCTAATCACACAGGATTTCACCATCCAAATGTCGAAAATGAATCGCAATTTGTGATAGTTTTAGACAGAGAGCTTATTTTTATAGATGCAATTAGAATAATAGAAATGTAAAATAACTATCAGTAACCAGTAAGATGCCGGTCTTTATGGTCTATTTTCAGAGGGGGAGATCTATTGTAGCTTGCTTTCAGCATCAGTTAGTATAGCATAGGACTGTTGCTAACAGGGTTCAATTTTAAACTGTATTTGGTGAACATAATGACATGAGAGCTCAACTTACATAACTACAGATTAGAGAGAGACATTCATTTTATGGAATGGATTTAAGAAGTTCATGTTTCTACATTTAGTTGTTATAAGAACAGGGTGGTAACTGGTAACCGACGCAAACATGATGGCTAATTATCCCAAGTTTATACAATTTAATCTATGTGGTTGCTCATACATCTTTGGTCAATGTTCACTTTACAGTTGCATTATGTTTCCTCAAGAAATGGCTGTTCTTCTTTCAATTTTCAACTTACGGAGTTTCAATTGACATTGCAGATGTGTCATATGCATGGAGTAATGCATCGTGATCTCAAACCTGAGAACTTTCTGTTTGGTAACAAGAAAGAAACTGCTCCTTTGAAGGCTATTGACTTTGGATTATCAGTGTTCTTTAAACCCGGTAATGCAATAAGTAATGATAGTGTGTTGTAACTTTTTTTCATGCTAAAAAAGATTAATGTTGGAATCATCTTTTAATATGTTTAACAGGGGAACGCTTTAATGAGATTGTGGGAAGTCCTTATTACATGGCTCCAGAGGTCCTAAAACGCAATTATGGCCCGGAGGTTGATGTCTGGAGTGCTGGAGTTATCCTTTATATTCTTCTTTGTGGTGTTCCACCTTTCTGGGCAGGTCCGTTTCTTTTATTTGCCTTCTTTAGGTAACAAGTAATACCTCGGTTCACCGACAAATAACAAAGTAAATCAACCTTGGTGCATACTATTCATTTCTTAGAACTTGGTAATTTATTAATGAGTGTCAAAATGAAATGGAATTTGAAACATATTGATGCGTTGTTAACATCGTCGATGACTAGGTGAGGGTGGCTGCAAGAGTGAATCCCACCTCTTCCTGGACCAATTCAAAATCAAAGTTCCTTTTTTTCCTTTTGGCCTGTGATAGTCAGTACTTTGTGCTTCCATTAATTTACTCACAGCTTTCTCAGTAATTGCCTAAAATTCTACTGAATATGTGCAGAGACTGAACAAGGAGTAGCCCAAGCAATTATTCGGTCTGTGGTTGATTTCAAGAGAGATCCATGGCCTAAGGTTTCTGATAATGCAAAGGATCTTGTAAAGAAGATGCTTGACCCGGATCCAACTCGACGACTCACAGCTCAGCAGGTTCTTGGTAATGTTTGTTAATCCTTGAGATGCTATACTTTCATTTGCTTGCTGTTTGTTCTCTCTTAGTTTCATAAGTTCAATTTTGTGACTTTTTTGGGGCTTTCGTGCATATACATGAATGCAGAGCACACCTGGTTACAAAATATAAAGAAAGCACCAAATGTCTCATTGGGTGAGACTGTGAAAGCAAGGCTTAAACAATTTTCAGTAATGAACAAGCTCAAGAAAAGAGCTCTAACGGTAAAATATTCCCTTTTCATTTGCAGTTACATATCATTAGCGTTCTGCACCTTCTCAGAAGGATATCTTCATATGCCTAATTCTTAAAGCCCAAAATAAGGACAAAAGATTTTCTGCCTTCTCACAAAAGTTTCGGGTGTTATATTCTTTCTTCATTGCTTGCACAGATTATGGCCGAGTTTTTATCAGCGGAAGAAGTGGCTGGAATGAAGGACGCATTTGATATGATGGATACAGGAAAGAAAGGCAAGATTAACCTTGGAGAACTTAAAAATGGTCTGCAAAAGCTTGGCCATCAGATCCCTGATGTTGATCTTCAGATTCTTATGGAAGCTGTAAGCATTCTCATGCTCTTCATTTCACTTGATTGGATTTTCTTTCAACTTTACGAAGACTAAATATATATATTTATAAGTCAAGCGTCTAATATTATTATAATTGTTCCCTTTTTTATCTTCTGCTTCACTTTTATAGGCGGATGTTGATGGAGATGGAAGCTTAAATTATGGGGAGTTTGTTGCTGTATCTGTTCATCTCAGAAAAATGGCAAATGATGAGCACCTGCACAAAGCATTTTCAGTTTTTGACAGAGATCAGAGTGGTTACATAGAAATCGAGGAGCTGCGCAGTGCCTTGAGTGATGAGGATGGTGGCAACAGTGAGGAAGTCATCAATGCCATTATGCATGATGTTGACACTGACAAGGTTAGAATTTTTTTTGTGTCCATTCATGTATATCTACTGGATTTCATACTAGTGCATATACTTCTTTTATAAATGTCTCTTTAATTGCTTGTGGAACCATAAATACCCCCCTTATCTTGTTCCGCAGCTCCAACTACACACGAAACTATGTTGAAGACGTATTACCCCCTTGTACTTGTAAAATGTGTATCTTCCGTCATCCTGAGAGGCATATATGATGTAACCAAATGTGAACATTTAAGTATATGCATGTGCTGCCTCATGTCATTTACCCCTTTTTCCCTTTTCACTTCTCTTCCATCTCCGCAACATGTTAATGTCCTCTAGCAAATCTGAAAAAAGATGGAGTGAGCTTCTCAACGGAAAAAATCGGATTCACCCTAGTTTTAGTTTTCTGGCAACATAAACAGCTCAAGTCGATACAAAAAAACAAATGTTCCTATCAAAAAACTCAAATTAGTAGAAAGGAAAAGAAGGGTCATAGGTAAGGGAAGAACAAAAAGGAATAGAAAGACCCTTCGGGGTGGCCCAGTTATTTGGGCTTGGGGCTTGGGGCTTGGGACTTCCATGTTGGAGGTCTCAAGTTCAAAACCCCTTGCCAATGAAAGCAACGGGTTTTCCTTCTACGTTGACTGTCGAGCTCGTCGCACCGGGCTTACCTAGTGCGGTTTACCTCTCCTTTGCGTGCTATAGGAATAGGGGTTTTACCCTGTGTGCACTCAAAGGGTAGCGACTGCGGATTTCCCAAAAGAAAAAGGAAGAGAAAGGTAAAGAAAACATTTTAAAAAAGAGTAGGATGGTTATAATAGAAGAAATGCTACAATATTTTTTCACCTCAGGCGCTTTAAGAGAGTAAATACTCTACGTTACATGGCGTCCCAATGTTGTCGTAGTTACATTTTGGACAAGAACAGGGAGTAATAGGCCTCCCGCAAAGTTAAAATGTAGTGGGGAATGGGGGAATAATTGAGGAAGGTATTTATATATTTTCTCCTTTCTAAATCATATTTTCTTTTCCATTCACTGCTCTTCTGTTCAACCTTATCATTCATTTGGACTAAATGTTGAATTGATTTTGAGCTTTTAGTTTGTTACCACAGCTTCAAAGTTCATCAGTTACATTGTCTATAACCATGCAGGATGGCCGCATTAGTTACGAGGAATTTGCTGCAATGATGAAGGCTGGCACAGATTGGAGAAAAGCATCGAGACAGTATTCTCGTGAAAGATTCAACAGTCTCAGCTTAAAATTGATGAGAGATGGCTCGATACAAGTCGGAAAGGAAGAAGGTAGATGATCAATGCATAAGAAAAAGAAATGTCAAAAGACGGAACAAGAAATTTTTCTCTTTGCTGTGCACTTCAATTTTTTTTGGCTTCCTCCCCTTTGAGCTCTATAGGATTGAGGTGTGAGGTCTTCAACTTGTAACATCCTAGGCATCTAACAAAGAATTTCTAGGGTCTTTTCCTTGTTGAAAAAATGTAATTACATGTATTGGTTATAAGCTCATTTTTATTAGTATAAAAAAAATACTAAGGCTCATACAAATCATTGTAACTTCCCTAAGGTTGAAACTTAGATGTCAGCACAGAAGGATTCTTTTTGCCTCTTTTAGCTTAATAGTTGATTTAATTTTATAAATAAGTAGTTACGTGTTTGGATTGAAATTGATGATAAGCGATTTGATGTGTTTGGTAAAAGGTGTTGGTAAGTTGTTTTTTTAGTAAATGACAAAAACACTCTTGGTTGTAATACAAAAAAATTATAAACTTCAGCTAGTGTTTGGTCATAAATTTTTAAATATTTTGACAAATTATTTTTAGTTCAAGTTTCATCATGTGTTTGGCGATAGTTGTTGAGAGAAATATTCGACTTTTTTTACAAAATATGATTTATACCTATAAGTTCTAAGAATTATTTAAAACTCATAACTTTGTATTATTTCATTATAATGAAAATGTTATGTCAAAAAAAAAAATGACGATGGACATATTTAGTATGAATTTGAAAAAAAAAGAGGAAGAAAACAAAAGAATAGTACAATTGATTCGAATATGAAAAACTACTATTGCTACTTGTAATTAGAAGTGACTTGAGAGAGCAAGCTAGAATAAAAATTGTATAAAATATGTACATAACTGTATATTTTGTTTAGAACAAATTAAGAATAAAATTTAGTCCAAAAGAACAAAACTATAAATAATGGGTGTTTTTATAAAATATAAAAGCTTGGAATAATTTTTAAATTTCTATTTTTTCCCCAAATATTAGAATTTATCCCAAATTCTAGGTATTTATAGAACTTGAGAACTTGGGATGTTTGCCAAATATATATTTGCCAAGTAATAGCAAATTATATGACCAAACACTATATAATTTTCATTTTTTTTCTGAATATATTTGTAGCCAAACGAATCCTAAAGTGTATCAAAAGGATGAATGATGGATATGGAACTGATAGAAAGTTAACGTTTTATTTTGGAAAATGCAAGCTGAGAATTAGAAAAAATTATATATCAAGGATAAAATAGTAAAAATATTGGTTAAATAAAAGCGTTTTTAATATGAAAATCATAAATTGAGATGATCAACTAAGAAAGAATCATACGAGTTTGTGGAGTTCAAAAATGTTATTGCAAATGAGATTGGGAAGAAGATAAAATGTAGTGATAATAGTGAAGGATCATGTTCGATGACTTTTTTTGGTATCGTCATGAAAATGGAATTCTTCGTCAAATGACTTGTCCAAATACTTCTTAGCAGAATGGAGTTGCCAAAAGAAAGCCCGCTTGTTTTAATTTAGATGGTCTTTCACGGTTGTATGATAAAAATCTTCCTTGAGAACTTTGGGCAGAAGAAATTGAATGTGGATGTCATGTGACAAATAGACTGCCTCTTTGGGCAAGTACATAGAAATGATCCCAATGGCGGATTCAGGATTTAAAGGTTGTGGATGCTTATTTTCATTAACATAAATATGTTAGCAATCACATAGTGTAAACGTATACTAATTCAAACTCTTTTAACATAAACATGTTAACAATCACATATTTTTAATTACAAAACACTAAATATGTGAGGCTCTAAAGTCTAAACCTATTTATCAAGTAACAAAAATAATGTGTAATCTATTTTAAGAATTAAGACTTAAGAGTACTAGCCATAAGCAATGAAAATCTCAAAACCTAATCTCCAAACCCTTTTTTTTCTCATTATCTAACTTTAATCAAACATCAAATCTTATTACCTTGCTTTTGTATTGTGATTTTGAAAAGAAAAAAGCTTGAAGTTTGTTGTTAAAAGAAATAATCACATAAAAGCGGACAGTGAAAAAGGTTTTAAAGCATAGGAAAAATTAAAATAAAAAAGAAAGAAAAAGTCAGTCAGATTAAACTAATTAAGAATAGAAAAAGTAAAAACATATACAAAATTCGAAATAAAATAAACCCTTAATTAAAAAAAGAACTTTTTTTTTTTATAAAAAGGGGTGCAAAATTCTCTGGAAAAAATAAAAATAAAATAAAATGGGGTTGACGAGATTCAAACCCTCGCCTGCGTGCTTCGCAAGCCTAATATTTCAAGGCGTAAACCAACGCAGCCAAAAATGCTTTTGTTCTATGGGTGCTCATTTAATATATATATATATACAAAAAAAAAATTTCAAGTCATGAGTGCTCGAGAACCTGAAACTGACTATGTGGATCTGCCCCTGCCTTTCATAATTTTATGCATGTTGGTTTGGTTTGTTATGTTCATGTTCCCAGAACTAATAGAACAAAACCTGATCAGAATGCAAGAAAATGTATATTTGTTGGCTATGAATCTTATAGGGAAGGGTTGGAGAAGCGTGAATTCAAAGACATATACTTTACTATTTCTAAAAACGTGGTATTTGATGAAGAGATCATTCTTATTTTCTACTCAAAATGCTTTGTTTTAGGTGATGATCAAGATAATTTAGAGCTATTATATCCTGTAGTAATTGTGCCAACACCTAGTAATGAAGAGGCAAAAAATGTATTTCAAAATTATGAGGAAATGTTTAGTCCGGTAGCAAAGATGGTCATGATAGTAAGGTCACGTATCTAACAAATTTTTGTTATGCAATCTGTACTTTAAATCAATACTGCTGATAACAAAATCTTTGTGGAAACAGTAAATTTCAAAGTTTAAATCAAGTAGCGAAGAAGAGAAATCAATTAACATAAATTAATGACGGTAAAACATATCAGTATGGAAAAGAAAGAAAAGAAAATCGAGTCCATTGTATGCACAACGTCCCCTTAAGGAAATTATCCCCCTCTAGTATTTGAGGTTTGAATTGAAATATATCCTCCCAGGTTAGAACGTTCTATTCACCAGTGTATTGATACCCAAAATAACAGTATCAATCATTTTCTCATTCCAATTCCAAAGTTGAGCGAGCGAAGACGGTGCGAGGGGTTCCTCTTTTCTGCCCTTTTAACAACTAGTAATCTCTATTTAAACACTTAACTTTTATTTTCACCATCAATGAGGAAGAAATGTCTTTTACTAAAACATGAGTGAACCTTTCATATTCCTTTTTTTTATCTTTCAACCATTTCCCATTAATTCTTATTATATCCCCAAAAAGTTTCAGGTCATGTTTGTTGTTTGAGGGAATTGCTCTATTTGGTCTGAAGAAAGCACCACGAGCTTGGTATGGTAAAGTATAGCTCAATATTTAATCTTTTGTGATTTTGAGTTTCTGATTCAGATTCTAGTTTATTTATAAAATTAGAATTGAATGTGCATCTCCTCATATTATTATACGTTGATGATAAGATAATAATTGGAGATAATGAATCAGAAATTTAGGAATGACTTGTTTGTTTGTTTTGAGATGAAAAATTGGGCAGATTAATGTTTTGTTGGTCTTGAAGTGGAAAAATCAGATCAAGGCTATTATGAATTTATTTCAATGAAAATAATATCAATTGAATAGACTCACCATTCATCAATCTAAGCTTGTATTTTTCCTCTTCAAATTTGATGTAACTCATCACATACTTATATAATATTTTAAAAATATTAATACTAACTAATTAACATAAACTACATATTCAACACACATGTTCCAAAATCAGTATGATATATAAAGAGCAATCTAAGTATTAATTGTAGAATTTGAGCAAAAGACTTAACTTTTAGTCTTTAGTTCACCTTCCAAAATAGTCTTTTCTTTAATTTCTTTCTCCAAATAACTTTGGTCAAAGGCTTTCCTTTTTTCAGACATGATTGACTTATTCTTTTGGATAATAGGTGCCAGAAAGTCTTGAACTATAAGAGTTTATGCTTCGATACCATGTTAAAAAATTATCCTCGGATCAAGATAAATTCGAAAGGTACTTGAATAATGTGAAATGCTTAACACCCTCTACACGTCAAAATTTGGGCATCTCAAGCGTTGGCAATACAACATGAGGGGCTCAATGCGTAAACCAAGAAGGAGAATATGCATTAATTTGAAAAGATCACGCTCATCCTGAATCTATTTATTCTAAATTTTAAATTCAAACTATAAGTACGATATATTTTTTTTTCCAATCAACAAAGTACTAAGAATATTCTTTTGGAGTATGTTATTGCAATATTGAGCCAAAATACTACTAAACCCATCACAAGCAATAAGATATTTATAGGCTTTCTTTTTGAAAATCAACAAACTACGCTCAGATATCAGGTGATGTCCGAACTAACTTGACTAGGACTATTTCATTGAATACCATTACCTTCCTATCTAGCTTTGGATGCATAGACACTACTAGATTCTGCCATTACAAGTTAAGACACTAAAGTTAATTAGTTATACAACTAGCGGTTCAAGGCAAAATTTAGATTTGTACCTATGTTGTGTCCATTTATTGAGATCAACTACTTTTACCTCATCATCATTGTTCACACTTTTGAGACCGGTGTACTCACAGATATTTCATGTTGGACATGTAGAGAATAGCAGAAGAAGAATATAATTGGGGAACCTTCTGCTAGCCCAAGATTGTTAACTAAGATCGGAAGATTCAACTAAGGAAGAGGAAGTTAGAAAGGAGAAGGAATATTTTGAATAGGAAAAACTTTGATATAGAAGAAAACTAGTTGATTTGGGTTGGTTACAAATGTACAAGACCACCCATATTTATACTTGTTCATAAATGGTTCTAGTTCTAGAAATTTTCTAGATACTTCTACAAAGAAAATTCTAGTGATCTTTATCTTCTACCCTAGAATATCTAGATATTTCTTGAAGATAACTATTCTAGATTTTACACTAGACTATTCTAGAAACTATACTATAATTATCTATGATATTTCAAAAATTAACTTTATCATTTTTCACACTCCCCTTAAAGTGATTTTTTGAAACTACCCCACACTTGTTGTGGAAGAACTCAAACGAAGCTTTGAGCCACGTCTTGGTGAAAATTTCGACAGTTTCTTCTCTTGATGAACTGTATTATCTGTTGTTACAATGACATCACGACCATTGTATTTGTGAAAGACCACCCATATTTATACTTGTTCATGGATGGTTCTAAAAAAATTTCTAAATACTTCTACAAAGAAAATTCTAGTGATATTTATGTTCTACCCTAGAATATCTAGATATTTCTGGAAGATAACTATTCTAGATTTTGCACTAGACTAT